TTAAAATCCATACCCTCGCTGACACAAATTATGAATCAATTACTTGACAATTTCATAATAAATACCTTGAGTCACCTCTGAAAAAATGTGGTCTTATTGCTTTATTATGTAAATCATTTGAGGTTAATTCAGATGTTCAGTTAAATATTTTCCCTATTTTCCCACATATTCTGCTCCTGTAGTTTCTTTCCATGAAGACTCTCATGTTTTTATGGTGAATGTCTTGATCAAGGTCTTCCCATATAAATCATATAGGTGTTTTCTCTCCGCTGTGAATTTTCTCATGTACAATAATATTTGAGGGACGGGTGAGAGCATTCCCACTCTCTATTTGTACTTTTCTCCCATTGGGAAATTTCCAGACTCTCTACATTTTATGCTTTACACAAAACTTCTACATCAGTGGGTAGATCAAGGATGCCTCCAGCATGTACTGAGTTCTCTGGTGTGCAGTAAGGCTTGAGAACAGGTTGAAGGCTTTGCCACATGCCATGCATTTGTAAGCCTTCTGTCTTGTATAAATTCTCTGGTGGAGAGTAAGTTTTGAGGGACATAAAAAGATTTTCTGCATTCTTTACATTTATAAGGTCTCTCACCACTATGGATTTTCTTATGTGCATTTAGATATGATGAATAACTAAAGTCTTTGCTACATTCTTCACACTGGTGACATTTCTATACAGTATGGACTTTCTTATGTTTACTTAGAGATGATGAATATATAAAGGCTTTGTCACATTCTTTACACTTATAAGGTTTCTCTCCTGTATGAATACTCTGGTGCATAGTAAGACGTGAGGAACGAGCAAAGGATTTGCTGCATTCTTTACATTTGTAAGGATTCTGTCCAGAATGAGTTCTCTGATGTTGAGTAAGGAGTGACCTGCATATAAATGCTTTGCCACATTCCTCACACTTGTAAGGTTTCTCTCCCGTATGAATTCTCAGGTGCACAGTAAGACTTGAGGAACAAGTAAAGGATTTGCTGCATTCTGCACATTTGTAAGGCTTCTGTCCAGAATGAATTCTCCGATGCCGAGAAAGGTGTGACCTGCATATAAAGGCTTTGCCACATAATTCACACATGTGAGGTTTCTCTCCTGTATGAGTTTTCCTGTGCTCAAAAAGACTTGAGAAGTAAGTGAAGGATTTGCCACATTCTTCACATTTGTAAGGTTTTTGTCCAGAATGAACTCTCTGATGTTCAGTAAGTTTGGAGCTCCACCTAAAAGCTTTGCCACATTCCTGACACTTGTAAGGTTTCTCTCCTGTATGAATTCTCAGGTGCTCAGTTAGATGTGATGAACGAGTAAAAGATTTGCTGCATTCTTTACATTTGTAAGGTTTCTGTCCAGAATGAATTCTCTCATGTTCTGTAAGGCATGAACCCCACTTAAAGGTTTTGCCACATTCTTTACATTTGTAGGGTTTCTCCCCCGAATGAGTTCTCTGGTGCACAATAAGACTTGTGCGAGAAGTAAAGGATTTGGTACATTCTTTACACTTGTAAGGTTTCTCTCCCGTATGAATTCTCAGGTGGATAGAAAGACCTGACAAACAAGTAAAGGATTTGCTGCATTCTGTACATTCATATGGTTTCTGTCCAGGATGGATCCTCTCATGATAATCTAGGGGCGAGGTCTGACTGAAGGCTTTCCCACATTCTTTACATTTGCAAGCTTTCTCTCCAGTGTGAATTCTCCTATGTCTAATCACTTTCGAGAAATGTTTAAAAGTTTCCCCACTCTCCTTATATTTGTAAGACGTCTCTCCAATGTGGACACCGTCATGCCTGATAATGTGTGACGATTCCTTGAAGACTTGTCCACAGTCACTGCACGGGCAACGGTTTTCGGGAATCTGAGCCCTCTGCTGTTCTCTGTGGAGTGATCCTCTGTCATACTTTACTCCCTGTTCTGCAGGTTGATACGCTCTCTTCTGAATGTAAATACCTTGGCAATTACTTGATAGCGAGCCCATCCTAAAGGCCTGCCTAGTATTATTATGCATGTAAGGTTCTTCCTCATTATCAATACACTGATATTCATTAAGAAATGATGGGTAGATGGAATCTCTCTGAGAGTTCTCAAAACTGTAGGTTTCGGCACAACTAGGTATTATTTGTTCATGACAGAATAATGAATCCTTTATCAAGGAAATTGCAATTTCAGCATCTTTACACATTTTTTCCTCATTGTATCTTTGGTCATCCAAATGGTATGACTTGATGTCTAGTGAATTGCTATACTTAAAATGACTCAACTGATAATTTGCACCATGGCCCTCCTCAATTTTCAAATTTTCCAGGTTTTCTTTTGGAGAAAAGTTATGTTTCAAAACTGGATGATGACATTTACTCACAGAAACACATTCTTCTGCAACAGTAACTGACTTGAACTGGGTTTTGTCCTGAGTCACCCCGGGATGTGGGTCCCAACTGACAGGAAAGGGCTTATCCCGTGGGCTCCTCCCGTGGCTCTGCACTCCTTCGTGACAGCTGTCCTGCCCTCCACGCTCGGCCTCCCCGTCCCAGTGTGTCCTCAGATTTGAGTCCCCAGGGTCACAGCTCCCACATCTTCCCAGGAACACTCTTTGGAATGAGTCTTTTACGGCTTGCTCAGGTAACAAGGCTTTTTCATACTGAGAAGACACCGCTGAAATATATAAGGAGAAAAAATTACCCCACAACAATCACATAAACACTTATTTTATTTTATTTTTTTAAGGTATCATTGATATACACTCTTACAAAGGTTTAACAAGAAAAACAATGTGGTTATTACATTCACCCTTATTATCAAGACCCCCCATACCCCACTGCAGTCACTGTCCATCAGTGTAGTAAGATGACATAGAGTCACTATTTGTCTTCTCTGTGCTACACTGTATTTGCTGTGACCACACACACAACATAAACATACTTATTTTAACATCTGTGTGAAACTTAATACTGTACATGTATCATGGTGAGCATTTAGAAATCGACACAATTGTCAAATCATTATGTTGTACACCTGAAAGCAATAACATAGTAGATTAACTATAGATTTACAAGTCAGTCTGTTGATGGTAAATATTTACACAGGTGTAAAAACCTGTAATACTGTCATATTTGAGCAAAAAATACTGCAGGCATGGTGTTTAAAAGACCAATTATACAAATAATCATAAATCACTTAATGGATTTACAATAAGAAGATACAATGTGCCATCAATAGTATTAAGAGATGAGCAGCAGTTTTGTGACATGAAGTTGTTCCCATCCTTAAAGAGACTGTGATAAATTTAACATGTTTTATGCAATATCAAAGAAAATAAACATGGAAAACACTCAAACAGCAGTGGGGAAGAAAAGAGAGTATGAAAATAGAAGAATTACTTAACACAAAGGTAGACACAGATGAACACATGGAAAACATGACTAGAAGACATACAGAAAATGTGTTACAGAAATGCAGTCAACAATCCTTTCCTTCCCCTTCATTAATCAAATGTAAAGGGACTAAACTCCCAAGGAAAAGATGAACAGAGGCAGAGTCGATTAAAAAGACAAGGTCCAGCTGCAGGCTATCAACAGAAGACTCACTCTAGACATGCAGCCACACAGAAGCAGACAGCGAAAAAGACTGAAAATGATATTCAACAGAATGGGTAACCATGAGATAGGAGGAGTAGCCATTTCAGTTAAAATGGACTTTGGGAAAGACTGTCACAGGACAAGTGACAGCCATAATGTAATGATTAATGAGACACCCACAAGAAAATATCAAATTATGTGTACTTCTGCATCCCATATCAGAGCTCCCACATAAAGCAAACAGTTACTGACAGAATTAAGCGAATAAGAACAAAATAATAATGAAAATTCAATATCCCACTCTAAGTAATGGATAGAACACCAGAGTAGAAGATAATAAGGAGGATTTGCAAAACACAATAAAGTAATTGGACATAATGAACATGCAGAATCCTCACCAAATGGCAGAAAAAAATAATCTTCTCAATGTCAGATGACACATGATGGAGAGCAGATAAGACATTAGCCCAGAAAACAAGTCTAAGTAAATTTAGGAAAACGTACATCTTACAAAGTATCATTTCTTTCTGGAGTATTTTTAGTGAAGAACAGCTAATATGCAATATTATATTGGCTTCAGATGTACAACAGAATGATCTACAATTATAAACATGACTAGATGCTCACCACCACAGTATAGTTTCCTTCAGTCACCAAACCAAGACACTACATTACTCATTGGCTCTATTACCTCTGCTTTACGTGCATCCTGTAACTAGCTGATACTTACAGGGTTGGTCAGCACACAGAGGAGGAAAGGATACATTATGGGAAAGAAACAGTATCTCCAGGAAGTGGTGCTGTGGAACCTGGACAGCTATACGCAAAGAATGAACCTACATCCTTGTTTCATGCCATACAAAAATTAACTCAAACTGTATTAAAAGACTCAAATATATGACCTGAAACCATAAAACTGCTAGAAGAGAACACAGCAGTTAACTCTTCAACATAAGCAGAATCATGTTTCTTCTGGAGGCGCTACTTCCAGGCAAGGGAAAACAAAAGGAAAAATAAAAAAGGGGTGACTAAAAGGTTCAGAACAGCCAAAGGAAAAAAGAAAGTCAACAAATTCAAAGAAAACGTACAGGTAGGGTTATGTGTTTGCAAATGATTTACCTCCTATGGGGCTAATACCAAAACCATGGAACGAACTCGTACAAGTCAAGACCAAAAGAAGGAATAATCCAGCTAGAGAACGGTCACAGCACCAGACACACTGTTTTCACAGACAGACACACAGACGGCCAACAGGCACGTGAAAAGATGCCCCACCTCACTAACCATCAGGGGATCACCTCACTCCAGTCAGAATGGCTAACATCAAAGATACAAGACATATAAGGGTGGTAAGGATGTGAAGGGAAGGGAACCCTCCTCCAGTTCTCGTGGAATTGTAAGCTGCTGTAGCAGTATGGAGAGTTCTCAAAACAAAGATAGAAAACACTAAATGAATTATCAATTTCACCTCTGGGAATCTACAGAAGACAAAAAAATCACCCACTTGGAAAGATATATGGATCTGTTAGTTTATGGCAGCATCATTAACAATAATGAAGTATAGAAGCAACCTAAGTCCATCAATAAATGAATAGATACAGATGCAGTATGTTTACAATGGAGTATTACTCAGCTGTGAAAAAGAATGAAAGCTTGCCATTTGCAACATGGATGGATAAGGAAGGCATTATGCTAACTGCAGTAAGACAGACAGAGAGAGACACTTACCTTAGGATTTCAGTTTTATGTGGAATATAAGACAAGTAGACCCCAAAAGAGAGACAATGGACTCTTGGTATCCTCTGCAGGATGAAGAGGGTGGGGAAAAGGAACGCCTGTATGGGTGAAATAGGGGAAGGGAATAGAGAGGTAGAAACTTCAAATTAAAAAATGCAGTATCATTTTCTACCACGATGGACTGAAACTAGAGACAGTAACAGAAAGAAAAGGGGAAGTCACAAAAATTGCAGGAAGTGAACTACACACACTTATATCACCAATTTTCAGAGATGACCTAGACAAAGGAAATTAGAACACATTTTGACAAAAGTGAAAGCAAATGCACAACATACAGAGCAATGAGTGTTTACATTAAGCAACAAGGAGCATCTAAAATCAACAATCTAAATTTATACATCAGAGATCTACAAAAAAAAAAACACAACTAAGCCCAAATTTACCACAAGGAAATAAATAAAATTAGGGTAGAAATAAATGAAATGCAAAATATAAAATCACTAGGAAAGAAAAAAAAATTAATGAATCTATTAACGGTTTCTAGAAAAGATGAATACTGAGAATCCTTATATAAATTAACAAAAATAAAAGAGAGAAGACTCAACCAAAATTGGAATTTGAGATAATACAATTGATGCAAAATAAAAGTGGACAATGGTGACTTTTTTAAGGAAAACTTTATGCCAAATAATTGGATACTTAGAACAAATGGGTAAATGCAAAAGACCAACAATATACAAAGACTGAATCTTATAGACATGAATACATGAATACAGTAGAGAAAGAGTTTAAAAGCCACCCCCAAAAGTTCCCAAAGGAGCCCTGTTGCATTGCAGACACCTTCACCAGATAACCCTACAAACACTGGCACAGAAATTAAACCCCTTCGCCCTCCCTCATGACTTCCATAACAAAAGGGAGGGAATACATCCAGACCGTTTCCTAGAAAGCCAACGTGCCACTGACACCAGTCAGAGAAAGACAGGACCAGAACAGAAGTGACACACCACTTCTAATGACTGCGGATGCAAAATCCCACAAGAAATCCAAGCACACAGACAGCACAGTGCAGGCTCAGGCAACAGGACAATGTGGGAGTCATTCCTGACACGCAGAATGTTTCAACGTAGAAGAAAAAATACCCAGCTACACTTCACAACATTAAAATAAAACAGGAAGAAAAATATCTGATTATACCAACCGACACGTGGACGGCATTTAAGAAGTTCAACATTCTTTTAAGATAAAAACAGTCAATAAGGAAGGAAGAGAAGTAAACTACCTCAACATCATAAAGGTTATACATGTAAAGCCCAAGGCGAACATTATACTCAACTGTGGAAACAAAGATTTTCCTCCTCACTCAGGAACAGGAAGGATTCACTACTTCTTCACATCTACTCAACATTGCCAGAGGCCCAAAGCAGAATTAGGTAATAAAAACAAACAAAATTCACCCAATTATGTAGCAGGAATAATACAATTATGTATCACTGTCGGCAGAACACGTGGCATTATAAATAAAAATTCTAATATTTACACAAATACACAATCACTATTAGGTCTACTAAACACATTCAGCAATGGAAGCAGAAGAAAAATCCATACACAAAACATCACTTCTCCAAAAACAGAATTAAGACAATTGCACTTACAATAGACTCCAAATAGTCATTTAACAATAAACAACCAATTTTGTGAAAACCTTTTTTAATGAAAATTAGTAATATTTTTTAAACGAACTAAAGATGACATGAATGAAAGGAAATACATCCCACATTCATAGATTGGAAGAATTAATAGCTAAGACACCTATTAGCAAAACTGGTGATCAGATTCAATGGAATTCTTAACTCGATGGCACTTTCCACCAAAAATATGGAATGAAAAAATCCTAAAATGCATGAAAATCTAGTGACCAGGGATTGTGGACAGAAACTTCAAAGGACATTATTATAAGTCGTCTACTTCATTTCAAATATATAACAAGGTGACAGAAACCCAAAGAGACTAGGACTTGCTTAAACAGTGATACAGACTAACTGAAAACAGGCCAGAATTAACCCCCCACGTCCAGATCAAATGAGCCTTAACAAGAGCGTGAAGCATACATAACGGAAAAGTGTTTTTTATAAACTCAGATGATTCAATAAATGTCCACATGCAAAAGAACTCAATAAGTAGGACACATTTCTTATACCATCTCCTCATACAAAAATCAACTCAGTATGATTTAAAAATTAAATACCTGAGACTTGTAACAATAAAACTACTAGTAGAAATCATGGTGTAGAGATTTGCGACATTGCATTTTGCATTGATTTCTTGGATATAAGGACAAAATGAAAGAGAACAAAGCCAAAGTCCATGAATGGGCCCACATCTCCCTGAGAGACGTCCGCACATCAGAGAAAACAATTGCCAGCATGAAAAGGTCACCCACAGAGAGACAGGACATGTGGCATCTCCATCAAGTGTGTACAGTGATCAACCTCAAAATCTAAGACTCAAAACCCAAAAAACTACCCCAAATTAGATGAAGGGCATAGGGCTGAACAGAAATAGCATCAAGGAAAATGTACAAACAGATAACCAGCATGTGAAAAGATGCTGAAACCACCAATCATTAGATAAATACAAATGAAAACCAGAATGAGTTAGCTTGTGTCCACTAGGTCGGCTTCTAGCAAACAAACAAAATGACCAATGCTTGTCCTTGAGGAGGTACAGGAACTGGAACGTTTGTGCAGGACAGGTGGTGACACAACGAGGCTCAGTCACTAGGGAAAACAGTGTGGAGGTCTGAGAAAAATTACAAACAGAACTGCTCTGACCAGCAATCCCACCTCCCGATACACATCCCGAACAATCAAGGCCAGACATGACGGTGCCCTTGTGACCCCCGTCCTCGGCAGAGTTCCCACGACAGCCCAGGGAGGACACCGTCCGCACATCCACCACCAGGATGAATGCATGAGGAAAATGGGGCGCACACACCATGGACCATTCCTCCATCTACAGGGAGGAGAAAATATCCTCATGTACTACACCTCGGAGCCAGTCTGAGAACATCACAGAAACTGAAATAACCAGCCACAAAGAGGCAGATATGCCATGATTCCACATGTGGAGCATTTAAAGTCAACCCCAGGGAAAGGGAACGATGTTTCCCTGGGACGGGAGGAGAGGGGAGGGGACAGCTGTTCTAATGGGTACTGGGTGTGACTGTTGTAAGAAAAATTTCTAGGGAGGCAGTGCATGGCAAGGTGAATATGGTCAGCGTGACTGCACTATACTCTTGAAATGCTTAACATGGCAAATTTTCCAACGCATTCTTTGCACAATTAAGCAATTTTTATAAAGCCTGAAAGAAAGGCATACAACTTTTCAAATAATACCTTCAAATCAGAAAAAATTATCTTTCAATCATATGAAGTGTTTCTCTTACACAGAATACAGACTGATAAACAAACAGAGGTGAATTAAGACTACTTCCAGTGTATTCACCCAGTCTGAAACAACCATCAGCTATAAGTATATTATAAGGTATTAACAAAAGAGGGTAGTCACACAGGCACACAATTACATACCTCAGTTTATTGACAACAGACCTGTTTGACCATATTTGAATGAATTCAGCACCACCCCTTAAAGTGTACTGAGTTGAAAACTGTCATCTGGAGGAATGAGAAATTCAAGACAGTCACACAGGTAATTCCAAATCTGGGTGATATGTATCAACTCAGAGTTGAGGCACATGGAGCCCCTTTAAGTTACACTGAAAAAGGCTACACTGGGAATCATTATAATTAAATTGTCAAAAGTCAAAAAGAAACAGAAGACTTTGAAAGAATGAAGAGAAAAGTTGACTCACCACATACAAATGATCCCAAATACATGGCAGTTTTCTGAACAGAAAGTTTGCAGGCCAGGGGAGAGAGTAGGCAGACATTCAAAATATCGAAAGAACAAACCTGTCCGCTAAGAATACCATTCTCAGCAAAGTTGTCCTTCAGAGATAAAGTTGAGATAAGGGTTGTCCCAAACCAACAAAAGCAAAGTGACTTCATCACTAGATCTGCCTTACAACAAATGCTAAATACTATTCTTCAAGTGGAAATAAAGATACTAATAAAGTATAAAAGTATAAATGTGTAAAACTCACTTCCAGTGGTAAATATATATTCAAAGTCTGCATGTCTAATATTGTAATGGTTGTGTTCTTTATACCTCCAGATCAAAACATACAATACATTAAAAGTAGCCTTAACCATAACAATTTGTTACTAGATACACAATATAAAAAAATGTGCATTTTGAGATCAAACGGTAAAATTTGAGTGAGGACAAGTAAAACTGTAGTTTCTACATGCTACCTAATTTAACTTATTATCATCTTCAAATAAGGTGTCATTATACATTTAAAATATTTTCCCTAAGCCTCAGGGTAACCACAAGGGAAGCTGCTATAGTAATTACACAAAATATTGTAATTAAGAAGGCACAGCTACTGATATGAAAATACATCAGAACAAAAAAAAAAAGGCAGCATGATAAGAAACAGGGAGAATAGGTCCAAAAAGCAACTAGAAAATGGCAATATTAAGGGCTTATCTACAACAATTACTTTAAACAAAATGATTTGTATAAAGATAGAGAAAGAACTAAATGGATAAATAGAAGTTCAGCAATATGCCACCTCTAAGAGATTCACTTTAGTCTTAGTATTAATGTACTCATGGACTGAGTGAAGGAATGGAAAAAGAGATTTCAAGAGAGTGGTATGAAAAAAAAGACAAGGATAACTAAACCTTTATCAGACAAGAGACAAAAATGGTAATCAACTAAAAATGGTAAAAATAGAGAAGGTCATTACATAATGACAAAGAGGTCAATACATCAAGATGATGTAACAATTATATATATGTACCCAACATCAGAGCAACTAAATACATAAAGCAAAATCTGACAGATGTAATATTTACAATCTTTAAAACACAACAATTGGGGGACTCAAATACTGCACTCTCCAGGAGGGATACATTGTCCAGAGAATCATAAAAAAAACAATGGAACTGAACAGCGTTATATACCAAATGGACCTAATACAAACATACAGAACATACCACCTAAAAACAGCAGAATCCATATTCTTCCTCAAAGGCACATGGAGTATTTTCTGAGATAGACCATACGTCAGGCCAGAAAACAAGTCTCGGCAAGTCAAAGAAGACTGTGATCACAGACTATCTCCTGTGATCACAATGGCATAAAACTGGAAACAAGAGGAAAACTGGAATATTCTTGAGCAAATGGAAATTAAACAATTCTCTTGATCACCCAAGGGATCAAGGAAATGAAGTTACAAAAGTTTATTTACACAAAGAAAAATGAAAACATAATCAGAACTTATAGGTCCCAATAAGTTCAAAGGGCTAATTCAAAATAATGACCCATATTAAAAAGATCTGGAATACAACCTAACTCTATGCCTTAAGAACTAGAGAAAGAACAAACTGAGCTCAAAGCAGAAGGAGGAAATAATAAATATCGAGAGTAGAAATAAGTAATGGGAAGGACTAACCAAAGAAAGAGTTGTTTCTTTGTCAAGGTCAGCAAATTTGAGAAGCCCTTGTTAGACTAACCAAGAAAACAAAGAAAGGAACAAATAAACACAACTGAACATGACAAAGGAGCCTCATAACTGACACCACAGAAATTCAAGGGATGAGAGGATGGTACTATGAACAAGTAGACACCAACAAATTAAACCAGTTCGAAGAAATGGAAAACATTTCAAAACATATTAATACCCAAACAGAATGGGAAGAAATAACAAAATATGAGTAGATCAATTACTAGAGTAAGGAGAAAGAATCAGTAGTCAGAAATCTCCCAAAAAAGCAAAGCCCAGAAACAGATGCATTCACAGGTGAATTTTACCAAATCTGGGGAAGACTTAACACCAGACTTCCTTCCTCTTCCAAAAAACTAAAAGGAAGTAACGCTCCCTAATTCACTGAGCCGGCTCGGCATCATCCTGAGAAGGACACTGTAGGAAAGAAACTATAAACCAGTCATCACTGATCAGTACAGATGCAAAAATTCTCAATGAAACACTGGTGAACCGAATTCATCGGTTCACTAAAGGGATTCGCTATTCAGCATGATTAAGTGGAACTTCCTCCGGAAATGCAAGGATGGTGCACCATGGGCAAATCAATCACTGTGATAGATCCCATTAATAGAAAATGAAATAATAAAAAGCAACATTATGATCATCTCAATAGATGCAGAAATAGCATTTTATGAAATGTGATGTCCACTCATGGTAAAAAACATAACAAATTAGGCCTAGGAGGAGCATATCTCAACGTAATAAAAGGCCATATATGCCACGTTCTCATTAACACAGTCCATGGTAAAAGGTTGAAAATTTTTCATCTAAGATCAGGAACAAAAGTCGTGTGTCCATTCCTCCCACTCCTACGCAACACAGTTCCTGGAAGTCCTAGCTACAGGAAGAACAAATAAAAGCTATCACCTTTAGGAGGGAAGAAGTTAAAGTATCTCTATTTGCAGATGCAATGATTTTATAGAGAAAATCCTGAAGACTTAACCAAAGAACTCTTAGCTCTAATCAATGAATTCAGTAAAGTAAGGGGATATAAAATCAACACACAAAAAAGTCAATAGTATTTCTACATACTAAGAGTGAATTTTCTGAAAAAGTAATAAATTGGTCCCACACATAAATAACAGAATCAAAAACAGTAAAACTCTTAGGAATAAATTTAACTGAGGAAGTCAAAAAACTGTATTCTGAAAACTAACAAAATTGATGAAAGAAACTGAAGACACAGATAAATGGAACAGTATTGCATGTTCATGGATTGGAAGGATTAATATTGTTAAAATGTCAGTACTTCCAAAGTGCCATATACATATTCAATGCAATCCCTATGTAGATTCTAGTGATTCTTTTTTCATAATTAGGAAAGACGATCTTAAAATTCATATGAAGCCACAAAATACCCCAAATAGCCAAAGAAATCCCAAAAAAGAAAAACTAATTAGGAGGCACCACACTCTGATTTCAAGGTGTATGATAAAGCTAGTTATCAAAAACCAACATAGTATTGGCAGGGAAACAGACAAAAAGACCAATGAACCAGAATCCAGAGCCCAGAAATGAACAGCAGCACACTGGCCCGACTAGGGTTTGACAAGGGTGCCAGGTAAACTCAACAGAGAAAAGACAGTTCTCAGGAAATGGCACCAAGCTACTTGGATATTCCTGTGTAAAGAATGAAACTAGACCCATACCTCATCCCACTCACAAAAATTAACTTCAAATGGATTAAATATTTAAACATGAGGCCTTAGACTATGAAACTCCTGTAAGAAAACATAGGCATGATACTTCCTGACATGGGTCTTGGTGATGATTTTTGGATACGACACCTAAAGCACAAGCAACAAAACCAAAAACACAGAAGTGAGACTGCGTCCCATCAAGTAGTATCTCCACAGCCAAAGTATCAGCAGCAAAGCGAAAGGACAGCCTACTGAATGAGGGCGACTGCTGGCAAACACTCTCTCTAATAAGACGCCGATATCCAAAGTACATAAAGACCCCCCGCAACTCAACAGCAAAAAGGGAAATGACCCAATTAAAAAGTAGGCAAGAAACTGAAGACCTTTCTCCAAAGATTTAGAAAAGGCCTACAGGTAAAAGACAAGAAGCTGAACATCACCGGTTACGGGGAAGTGCAGACGAACACCGGAGGTACCGCAGGCCGTTAGAGGGTCATCAAGGAGTCAGGAGCTAGCACAGGGTGGCATGGATGTGAGGACAGGGACTCTTGTACATTGTTGGTGGGATTCTAAACTCTTATGGCCATTATGGAAAAAATATGATGGAGGATTCTTAAAATATTAATAGAACTACTGTATCACCCAGCAATTCCACTTCTGGGAACATATACAAAAGAAAAACA